GAGCAAGGAGGTTTCAGAGTGGGTAGGGATGTGTAGATCAGGTGTTTACATTGAAGCATATATGTGAACAGAATTTAGATAAAGATAGGGAAGTTTTTATTGCATTATGGATTAGAAAAGGCATATGATAGAGTGGATAGAGGACAATGTGGCAGATTTTTGCAAGTATATGGAATAGGTGGTAAGTTAAAATGCTGTAAAGATTTTTTATGAGGATAGTGAGGCTCAGGTTAGGTGTGTAAAGAGAGGGAGACTATTTCCCGGTAAAAGTAAGTTTTAAAGACAGGGATGTGTAATGTCACCATGGTTGTTTAATATATTAAAAGATGGGGTGTAAAGGAAGTAAATGCTAGGGTGTTCGGGAGAGGGGTGGGATTAAATTTTGGGTTATCAAATTCAAAATGGGAATTGACACAGTTACTTTTGCGATGATACTGTGCTTATGGGAGATTCTAAAGAAAAATTGCAAAGGTTAGTGGATAGTTTGGGAATGTGTTAAAGGTAGAAAGTTGAAAATGAACATAGAAAAGAGTAAGGTGATGAGGGTTAAAAAATGATTTAGATAAAGAAAAATTGGATATCAAATTGGGAGGAGGAGTATGGAAGAAGTGAATGTTTTCAGATACTTGGGAGTTGACTTTTCGGGGGATGGATTTATGAAGGATGAGGTTAATCAAAAGATTGATGAGGAAAAAAGGGGAGTGGTGCGTTGAGGATAATTTTGGAGCAAAAAACGTTATCTATGGAGGCAAAGAAGGAATGTAAAGAAAGTATAGTAGTACCAACACTCTCAAAATGGGTGTGAAGCTTGGGTGGTAAATGCAGGGAGCGAGGAGACGGTTGGAGGCAGTGGAGATGTCCTGTTAAGGGCAATGTGTGGTGTAAATATTATGCAGAAAATTCGGAGGTGGAAATTAGAAGGGGTTTGGGGTTAATAAAAGTATTAGTCAGAGGGCAGAAGAGGGGGTTTTTGAGGGGGTTTGGTCATTTAGAGAGAATGGATCAAAGTAGAATGACATGGAAAAGCATATAAATCTATAGGGGAAGGAAGGCGGGTAGGGTCGTCCTCGAAAGGGTTTTGGGGAGAGGGGGGAAAGGAGGTTTTGTGGGCAAGGGGCTTGGACTTCCACAAGCGTGCCCTGAGTGTGTTAGATAGGGGTGAATGGAGACGAATGGTACTTGGGACCTGACATCTGTTGGAGTGTGAGCAGGGTAAATTTAGTGAAGGGGTTCAGGAAACCGTTATTTTCATATAGTCGGACTTGAGTCCTGGAAATGGAAGTACAATGCCTGCACTATAAAGGGGGTTTGGGATATTGCAGTTTGGAGGATATGTTTTTGTATTTATATTTTATGCTTCTAAGAACTGTTGTATTCTGAGCACCTCTGCAAAAACATGAAATTGTGAGAGTGTGGTGAAAGTGTTGAATGATGATGAAAGTATTTTCTTTTTGGGGATTTTCTTTCTTTTTTGGGCCACCCTGCCTCGGTGGGAAACGGCCGACTGTTGAAAAAAAAAAAAAAAAAAAAATGTATATGTATATTTTTTTTTTATATAGTAATAATGATAATGCTTTAAAACAGGCCCCCTCCAGTTATATAGCCACCCCTAAATCTTCCCCAGTACAAAAATTCTAGTGCTGCTCCTGTCTTTGCTTTTTTGTTACTCCGTAGTTGTGTATTTTGATTATTTAAGCCTGTCCTCATAGCTCCGGGTCTTAATCTTGGGGATTAGCCTGGTGGCATATCTCTGAGCTGGTCGAATTTCCTACCTAACCTGTTTGAGGCAGTGTGGGCTCTACACTAGTGTTGCATACTTTAATATTACTGCCAGTTAGGGAGCATATATTCTGAATTGGTTCAGATTGTACTGTTAATATTGTAGTTTATGCTTTCACTATCCTGTCCATGTAAGCCTGTAGCAATAGGTTTAGTGTTATCTACATCCCTAGGGATTCATTTAATGAACCATTCTTGCAATTTCATTTACAGTTTCCTGCAATCTTCCATTTTTATTTTTCTCATCTGCATGGAGTAACCAGTTGTTCTAGGCATGCCGTTGCCATATCTAAAGAAAATGAAATTGGGAACTGATCTTTGGTTAACTGTGATAAAGCACCTCAATTACTGGGCACGCTTGAAGTTCCTCAACCTGTACTCCCTAGAATGCAGGTGGGAGAGATGCATGATTATATACACTTTGAAAATCCTAGAGGGATCAGTACCAAACTTGCACAAGAAAATCGCTCTCTATGAAAGCAAAAGACTCGGCAGATGATGCAACATCCCCCCAGTGAAAAGCAGGGGTGCCACTAGCACAATAAGAGACAACATAGTAAGTGTTAGGGGCCCAAGACTGTTCAACTGCCTCCCAGCATACATATGGGGGATTACCAATAGATACCTGGTTGTCTTCAAGCAGGCACTGGACAGGCACCTAAAGTCAGGTAACCTGACCAGCCGGGGTGTGGTTCGTACGTCAGATTGCGTGCGGCCAGCAGTAACAGCCTGGTTGATCGGGCCCTGATCCACCATGAAGCCTGGTTATAGACCGGGCCGCTGGGGTGTTGACCCCCGAAACCCTCTCCAGGTAACTTTTTTTTTTTTTTTAAATGCCAGCTGCCTCCCACCAAGGCAGGGTTGCCCAAAAAAAGAAAGAAACACTTTCACCATCATTCATATGTAATCACTGTCTTTGCAGAGGCACACAGATATCATAGTTCAGATGTCACTTCTAAATCCATTATCTCCCTTCTCACAATGTAATTTTCTCCCTATTGGTCTGATATTCCTTTATCCAGTAAAATTTCTCCTTTTTTTTCGGCTATCTTTTACCATGCTAAACATTTCAATTGATAGATTGTTCTTATCTGCAGCACTGTACAGAATACCTTTTGACAGTAAAGGAATATGCAGTCTCCTTACGCTTCCCTTTTTTGTCTTTATTTCAGACCTCCTATCATAAAATTCAAATAGGTTAGTAAGGAATATTTTTTTCTGAACCCACATTTCTGTTTGGCTTCACATGAGGATTACTGATGAATTAGTTATTTGTGTATTACTGTACATAGTTTAGCAGCAAAATTAAAATGTCCTGGTATTTTTACTTGAGCTTTTGATTATATTTTCATTTTAAAAAGTTTAAGAAAATTAGTAACTGTTGGCCTCTTGTTTTAGTAAATTTGAATATATATTTTTATAAGCATCATAATTGATAATTGTCTTTAAGCAAACTATGATAATCATAAAAATTCCTGTATATTGTTTCATATGAGTTTTGTATATGTATTGGACTATAGTGGTTAACTTTACATTGCATACCTGCATTTTCTGAGAGTAGAGAGTTTGTCACTTGTACTTTCAATTTTAGGCAGATTTAAAATTTATAGGACTTCATCACTTCATGATGTGGATTTTTTTTTTTTTTAACAAGTCGGCCGTCTCCCACCGAGGCAGGGTGACCCAAAAAGAAAATCCCCAAAAAGAAAATACTTTCATCATCATTCAACACTTTCACCTCACTCACACATAATCACTGTTTTTGCAGAGGTGCCCAGAATACAACAGTTTAGAAGCATATACATATAAAGATATATAACATATCCCTCCAAGCTGCCAGTATCCTGAACCCCTCCTTTGCAGTGCAGGCATTGTACTTCCCATTTCCAGGACTCAAGTCCGGGTGTATAAAAATAACCAGTTTCCCTGAATCCCTTCACCAAATATTACCCTGCTCACACTCTAACAGATCGTCAGGTCCCAAATACCATTCGTCTCCATTCACTCCTATCGAACACGCTCACGCACGCCTGCTGGAAGTCCAAGCCCCTTGCCCACAAAACCTCCCTTACCCCTTCCTTCCAACCTTTTCGAGGACGACCCCTACCCTGCCTTCCTTCCCCTACAGATTTATACTCTCCATGTCATTCTTCTTTGATCCATTCTCTCTAAATGACCAAACCACCTCAACAACCCCTCTGACTTATACTTTTATGAACTCCACACCTTCTCCTAATTTCCACACTCCGAATTTTCTGCATAATATTTACACCACACATTGTCCCTAAACAGGACATCTCCACTGCCTCCAACCGCCTCCTCGCTGCTGCATTTACAACCCAAGCTTCACACCCATATAAGAGTGTTGGTACCACTGTACTTTCATACATTCCCTTCTTTGCCTCCATAGATAACATTTTTTTGTCTCCACATATACCTCAACGCTCCACTCGCCTTTTTTTCCTCATCAATTCTATGATTAACCTCATCCTTCATAAATCCATCCGCTGACACGTCAACTCCCAAATATCTGAAAACATTCACTTCTTCCATACTCCTCCTCCCCAATTTGATATCCAGTTTTTCTTTATCTAAATCATTTGATACCCTCATCACCTTACTCTTTTCTATGTTCACTTTCAACTTTCTACCTTTACACACACTCCCAAACTCGTCCACTAACCTTTGCAATTTTTCTTTAGAATCTCCCATAAGCACAGTATCATCAACAAAAAGCAACTGTGTCAATTCCCATTCTGTATTTGATTCCCTATAATTTAATCCCACCCCTCTCCCAAACACCCTAGCATTTACTTCTTTTATAACCCCATCCATAAATATATTAAACAACCATGGTGACATTACACATCCCTGTTTAAGACCTACTTTTACTGGGAAGTATTCTCCCTTTCTTCTACACACCCTAACCTGAACCTCACTATCCTCATAAAAGCTCTTTACAGCATTTAGTAACTTACCACCTATTCCATAAACTTGCAACATCTGCCACATTGCTCCTCTATCCACTCTATCATATGCCTTTTCTAAATCCATAAATGCAATAAAAACTTCCCTACCTTTATCTAAATACTGTTCACTTATATACTTCAATGTAAACACTTGATCTACACATCCCCTACCCACTCTAAAACCTCCTTGCTCAATTATGTATGTTTATCTTTGCAACATGGCCCTCTTTTGTTAAACTATTCATTCCACAGGGGTACATGGGGGGCATGTTATGGCACACATCTGGGCTCTGTGCTACATGAGTTGGCACATACCCTAGACCTGGGCCACACCCCTCATGGCATCATGGCTCGAGGTTTCGAGGATCTGCATATCTTCTTCACCACCACAAAGCTTACATCAGATTACCTTCCACAGTCACCACGTCACAGGTTTGTCTGCCATTTTTAATTAGTTATGTGGTAACTCTTTAAAGAACTTTAATATCTCTACAAACTAGACTGTATAAGGAAGCTTGTATGTGTGATGTGATAAATCATTTCAAGAATAAATATGCCTTTATTCAAATATTTTATGTAATTAAACATGAAATGCACTAGGGGAATACATGCCTTGTGCTATAGGACTCAATCTGCCATCATTACTGTGTGAGATGTAGGAGGGTGCAGCCATTTGTCATGTACAGACTCATTTCAACTCCCATTTTATATTTGATTCCCCATAATTTAATCCCACTCCTCTCCCCAACACCCTAGCATTTACCTCTTTCACAACACACTCATATCCCACCTAAATTTTGTCGTGGACAGTAGTTACTGGTAAGTCCAAAGGAGAAATTGAATATAATCAGCATATATTCTGTATTTCAGCTCTATTATGAGGCAATCAATGTCAAGTTCCTTAATCAAAGAGTCAGTTACTTTTACAACTGATTTTGTGCGAAGAATTCCATTGGACAACATCAATATGACGGTTGAGCCTCCTAAAGAACCATTAGCATCAAGTGGTGTCTATAGTCCACCAATTCTCACTAGAAGATACCCAACAAAGATGAACAATTCTAACTCTGAATCTAGTTCACCCTTCACATTAGGAGAATCAATATCTTCTTCACGAATCCATAAGAATCCCTGCAACCGTACTCTACTAAATGCACCGTCTCCAAATATAACGAGCAGTGTTATCAACAACAACAAACTCCAAGAGAATGATGGAAGCAAGTGTCGAGCATTTTGGGCAAGGTCAAGTGCTGTCTTATTGGCGTTCCATAAGTAAGTGAAACTGATACATCAGATTATTAATAATTTACTGTATGTGATACTGTACATGATTCTATGTGATAATTAGCAAATCTCATTACAGTAATAAGTTTAAACTTTATACCTTTGATGTACTTTTGACGAATTTTGAGTATGTATTTCTACACCTGAGCCTGGCTTTGGACCAGACTTATCTGGTGCTTGCCTGATCAACCAGGCTGTTGCTGCTGGCAGCCCACTGATCCACATATCCATCACAGCCTGGTTGATCTGGCACTCATTAGAAATGCTTGCCCAGTTTTCTCTGGAAGACTTCTACACTTGTCACTATAGTGTTTCTGATAACCTCTGTAGAATGTTGCACAATCTGGGACCACAGATGTTGATACAGTGTTCTTTTGTTGTGCTCACAGTGCCCCTGCCCTTCACTGGGTTTATCTTGCACTTACTCCCATATCTCGTTATTTAAGACATTGGCTGGTTAAAGCTGCTTCTCGACTTACCATGGGGTTATGTTCCGATGACCCTTCATAAGTCAAAAATGAATATGTGCTAAATAAATAAATAACTTCTGTCACTGAATAAGTAAATAAACAAATAATTACTGTAACTAAATATCAGTATTGAAAAGTAAAAAAAAAAATGCATGCAAGTTACAAACTTGCCACCTTCATATTGGGAAATTATCTTAAGTTTCATCTCCAAAGTAATTGCTTGTACACAGTTGTAAAGTCGAAATATTGTAAGTTGAATCATCATAAATCGAGGAGCACCTGAACTTTGTTTTTGATCTTCATTAACATCTTACGTGGCTAGTGCTATGTTCCTCTTCAAGGGGGGCTTCTTGGCGTGGTGAAGAGGCTCTTGGTCTGAGGAATTAGACCTGTTGGTCTTCTTCCTCAGACCGAACCTAATTACCCCCCAATCTCCCCTCCCCTATCCCATCCTCCCCTTTTTCCTTTCCTCCTCCTCCTTCCCACCCCTCCCTTTTGCCCTTCCTCTTTTGGCCTTTGGGATTTCTCCCACAGGCGCGCTAGTTCCTAGGTAGGGGAAAGGATACCGGGGTCTATCCATTCCGTTGAGGTTCTTGGCGGTGGCGTAGTTTGCCGTGGAATCTGGATCGCCTGGGGATGTCCGATCCTTCCGGTATCCCGGAGTAGCTTTGGTGTCTTTCAGGCGATGGGTGTATCTCTGGAAGCCACCTTTCGGATTCCGGGGGTGGTGGCCGAAAGAGGTATGCTTTGTGGCAGATATCCCGGCTGCCCTCTCTTTTGTTCCACCGAGGTAGCTCGGCAGATGTGAGGTTGCTATCCCGGATTGTTAGTTTACTAGCATGGTGGGTAGGGTATGGCACGGGTTCCTGCTGCATCTCGCTCTTCTGGTGCTGAGGTCCTCTTGGTCGCGGAGGGAGATTTTCTGGCCCTTTCATTCCTCCTAGGAACTATCCTCCCTGGTCCCCCTTTTTTTATTCTTTTTATTTGTATTTTCTTTCTTTCTTTTTTTTTCTAAAACAAAAAGCAAAGAGTACCTACCTGCAGCCCTAGTCCATGAACCTACTACCCCCGGGCCCCTTCTTGATACCCACCCGTTCTGACCCCGCCTTGTCTTTGACCCTCTTCAGACACTCCTCATGCCTCTGTACCTATTGCCGGTGCTGTTTCCTCACCCGCTTCAGGTACTGAGGCCTCGACTGACTCCTTTGATTTATCGGACCTTCGCTCTCCTCTGACTATGCTTCCGGCCTCTCCTCTACGGTGCGCAATTTTCAAATTGCCGACCCATTCCAGTCGGACCAACTCTGGTCCCACGCCTAAACGCCAACGACAATTACCTGCTGATGATACTTCTCCACCTTCTCGTTCTTCTCAGAAACGATCGACACTCCTTCACTACCTTTCCACGCTCAGTTTCAGACTGAACATGGACTAAATTCTCACTTTACAAAGACTTCCTCTACTGCCTATCTTTCTGACCACAGTATTGGCAAGGCACTCCTATGCCATGTTGGTAAAGATATTTCTTTTCATGCTTTTAAATAGCGGTACGCTCATTACCGTACAGAATGCTACCCAGGCTCATGAGCTCTGTCGTCTTTCCCATATCGATACTGTTCCTGTCATTCTTGAAAAACATCATTCCCTCAATTCTTGTAGTGGTACCGTCATTCTGCCCCATACCATAGTTCAACAAAATTTCCAGACATGTGGCACTGACATTCTTGAACAGCTGGAACTCCAAGATCTCCAATCTCAAGGTAGACACTTATGTTCTTCCTGCCCACGGGCGGAGACGATACCCTAGCAATGTGGCTCGTTTAACTTTGACAGCCGAGAACTCCCATCCTCGTTTATATAGCAGGAACATCGGTTACAAGTTCGAAAGGTGATCCCTACACCACAACAGTGTAGAAATTGCTGGCGATTTGGCCATCCAGCGAAATATTGCAGATCTATCGCCGAATGCCCAGTCTGTGGTGCCGATGACCATTCTAATACGTCTTGCAATCGATCTCCCTCTTGCCTTAACTGTCATGAGGCTCACCCTTCGTACTCTCGCAGTTGTCAATTCTATTTAAACGAGCAGGAAATCCGTTACCTCAAAGAGACAGAAGGTCTCCCTTATGCCATGGCAGTTTCTCATCTCCGCCTCCAAGGGAGACTCCCACGTGTTATTTATTCCTGTGTTTCAAAACGTCCCCCCACTTCTGGTATCCCATCTTCTACACCCACCTCTGTGGTTACCTCTCCCATAGTCACTCCTGTATCTAATCCTTTTGCTGTCCTCGGCTCAGACGTCCCTACTTCAACGCCTCAGTCTGATCTCGCTTCTTCGAGTTCTCTCTCACAAGCCTCGGTATCGACGAGACCTCGTACGACTCCTCCTCCCAATTGTCCCTCTACTTCTCAAAAGTCAAAAAAGGTCCGTTAACACCTCCTACCCATCTTCCACCTCCTCATTTTACCTCTCCTGTCTCTGTCCCTGGTTCTCCCCCTCTCACTGGCTCAGTTACAAGTGTAGAGGTTCACCCTCCTCCTCGTACTGTACCTTCCTCCCCTGTTCCCTCCCAAGTTTCTTCCTCTTCTGCCACCTCCCAGGTTCCTGCCTCTTCTGTCCCCTGCCACGCTCTCTCAGTTCCCTCCACCCTTTCGCCCCCCCTACCTTGGTACAGTCCAATACAGTTTCCAATCTTTACTCATCCTTCCCCTACCATTTCCAATATTGTCTCCCATACGACGTCTCTGAATTCCGAAAACACTTGAAGCAATCTCTGAATATATTGCAGAGAGACCAAACCATCATGGACACTGATCCACCTTCCGCTCTTTCTCTCTCCTCTGCTCCATCTGCGTAACTCCTTTCTTCACAGCGCACCGTTCCTTGTGCTTGAACGTTTTCCACTGCCTCCGCATGTGGACTTTTCTAACCCCTCTAGTCCGTAGGAACCCTTACCTGCGGATTTCAAGTATCTTATCATTGCCAATCATGGCCTATTACAGTGGAATATACGCGGCCTCGGGGGTAATCGGGGTGAGCTTCAGATGTTACTCTCCCAGTTTTCCCCTGTTGGTGTTTGCTTACAGGAACCAAAATTACACTCTGCTGTTATTTCTCCCATCTCAGGCTATAATTTATTGTATTCTTCAGATCCTTTTCCTGATGGGACCTTTAATGAAAGTGCCCTTCTTCTACGCACTGATATTCTGTACCATCAGCTATTTGTTCATACTTCGCTGCATTACACAGCAGCCCGTATCCACTTACATAGGTGGTATACGCTCTGTTCTTTATATCTCTCTCCTTCTCGGGCATTATCTATTCCGGATATTGCCTTCCTTGTTTCGTCATTACCGCCACCGATTCTGTTACTTAGTGATTTTAATGCCCACCATTTCCTCTGGGGGGGGGGTCTCACTGTGATTCCTGTGGAATTCAGTTAGAGGCTTTTCTTGCCACCCACCCCCTCAATGTTTTAAATACAGGTACTCACACCCATTTTGATCCTCGGACTCATACTCTCTCTTGCATCGATCTCTCAGTCTGCTCTTCCTCCGCCGCATTAGACTTCACTTGGTCTGTTCTCCCGGACTTACATGACAGTGATCATTTCCCAATCATTCTTACTTCCCCTTCATATTCGCCACCTCTTCGCACCCCACGCTGGCAATTTAATCGGGCAAATTGGAACCTTTACTCACACCTAACTGTTTTTAAAGAGGTTCCTTCTTCGTCCTCCATCGATGAGCTTTTACACCTCTTCTCATCCTCCGTTTTCACCGCAGCTTCTCATTCTATACCCCAAACTTCGGGCAGGCATTCTCAGAAATGCGTGCCTTGGTGGTCTCCTGCTTGTGCTCGTGCAGTACGTTTGAAACGCGCTACATGGGGCAGGTACCGGTACAATAGAACCACAGAGAGACTCCTTGATTTTAAACAGAAGCGTGCAATCGCTCGCCGTGTCATCCGTGACGCTAAACGCACTTGCTGGCGAGATTATGTCTCCACCATCACCTCTGCTTCCTCTGAGTGCAGACCCCTTACTACGCTTGGATACGTATGTTCGTAATGCCTTTGTGAATAACCACTCAGTTATTGCCATATTTTTTGACCTTGAGAAGGCATATGACACAACTTGGAGGTATAATATTTTAGCCCAAGCCCACTCCTTAGGCCTTCGAGGCAATCTACCATCCTTCCTTAAGAACTTTTTAACTGACGGGCATTTCCGTGTTCGGGTTAATAATGTGCTCTCCCCGGACTTTATCCAAGCTGAAGGTGTCCCCCAGGGATGTGTTCTGAGCACAACACTTTTTCTCCTTGCTATTAATGATTTGGCCTCTAGTCTTCCATCAGATATTTGGTCATCACTCTTTGTTGATGACTTCGCTATTGCCTGTGCAGGCACTGACTGTCACCTCATTACAGTTTCTCTCCAACATGCAGTCGACCGTGTTTCCAATTGGGCCGCCACACGTGGGTTTAAATTTTCCAGCACTAAAACCCACCAAATTACTTTCACTAGACGCTCTGTCATCTCCGATCATCCTCTGTACCTCTATGGCTCCCGTATCCCTGAACGTGATACAGTCAAGTTTCTGGGCCTCCTCTTTGATCGTAGGTTATCCTGGAAACCTCACATTACCTCTCTGAAGGCAACTTGTCACAGCCGGCTGAACCTTCTTAACCCTTTCAGGGTCCAAGGCCCAAATCTGGAGTCACGCACCAGTGTCCAAGATATTTAAAAAAAAAAAATTGTTATTTTTTCTTATGAAATCGTAGAGAATCTTTTTGTGAAGGTAATAAAACAAAAAGTACGAAAATTGGTGGAAAATTGACGAAATTATGCTCTCGCGAATTTTGACGTGTCAGCGATATTTACGAATCGGCGATTTTGCCGACTTTGACTCCCATTTTAGGCCAATTACATTATTCCAATCAACCAAATTCTTAGCTATTTCACTAGTATTACTTCTATTCTATCGATTGAGCACAAGAAATCGCCAAGTCAACTGTTTCAACTACAAAATAAAGTGATCGGAAATTGTTAATTTGGCCAATTTAACACAAAGTTCAAAATATTCCAATTTCAAATAGGTCCAGAATGAACAATGGTAGGCATTCCTGGCACTAAACTAACATTTCCTCTGTTCATTAGTTTATGTTTTGAGGCTTTACAAATAAATTCCATTTTGATTTTTTATTCACATAATGAATTTTTATTCACACACCAAAAAATAGAAGATTTACTGTTATGCAATACTGTAATAATTGTATAAATATCATCACCATATTTGTGAATGTATATTAGCCCCACCAGCTGACGTGTATTAGACGTGTGAGGTCGTTTGTTTACTCTTGAATATCGGCAAAAATTTAACATTTCCGCTACTTTGAGCTCAGTTTCCAAGCCATTTCCAATGCTAAAACCAATCAAAATCATCTCTATTTCTGTAATATGTCTTCCATTTCTATTAAATGAGACCAAGAAATCGCAAATACAACTATAAAAAACATAACGATAAAACACTGCAAAGTTGCTGTTTAATCGAAAAATCAATGATTTCATTTTTTTTCCTCTCATTATGCACAGTGTGCTGCAGGATCTGTTTTATGTGGTGCACGCATACCACATAGATGTATTCTCTCATATCTAGGCCCAAATGTACCACTCACAGTTTATCAGAGTGAGCTGAGCTCATGGCGTAGATCTACGGTTTGGACCCTGAACGTAAAGCCGTAGATCTACGGGACGGACCCTGAAAGGGTTAAAACCCTTGCTCATCTTTCATGGGGAGCTGATCGTCGAACCCTCCTTCGCCTACATTCCACCCTTATTTTATCGAAACTTGATTATGGTGACCAGATCTATTCAGCGGCATCTCCTGCTACCCATTCATCACCAAGGATTACGTTTATGCCTTGGTGCTTTTCGCTCTTCCCCTGTCGAGAGCCTCTATGCAGAAGCGAACGTTCCATCCTTATCCGATCGCCGTGATGCCCATTGCCTGCGCTACTATGTACGCTCTCATGATCTCCGCAATCCTTCCATTTATAGAATGGTCACTGATATTAGTAGACATTCTTTATTTGTTCGCCGCCCCTGTTTACTCCGCCCCTTCTCTCTTCGCCTTCATTTCGCTCTTGCTTTCTTCTTCAACTACCACCTTTCTATGTACATGTAGCATCTCACTTTCCCCTACCCCCCTGGGAAGTTCCAGCTGTTCGAGTCTGTTCTTTTTTCCCTACCTTGCTCAAAAGCCCAACTGTCCTATGGTCGCTTCCCGCTCTCTTTTCTTGACCACTTTCACTCTCATTCTCATGCCATTGCTGTGTACACAGATGGCTCTAAGTCTTCTGACGGCGTAGGATTCGCAGCAGTGTTTTCGGACAGCGTCGTACAAGGGCATTTACTATCTTCGGCTAGTATTTTTACTGCTGAATTATATGCCATCCTTACAGCACTTATCCGTATTGCATCTATCCCTGTGTCATCATTTGTGGTTGTCTCAGACTCCCTTAGTGCTTTACAGGCTATACAAAAATTTGATACCCCTCACCCCTTAGTCCTTCGTATCCAACTTTGGCTACGCAGCATCTTACCAAGCATAAAGATATTGTTTTTTGTTGGGTCCCTGGTCATGTTGACGTACAGGGCAATGAACAGGCAGACACTGCTGCGCGGTCAGCAGTACATGACCAAACCAGTTTCTTATAGAGGTATTCCATTTACGGACTATTTTGCTGCAATATCTTCCCACCTTCACACCCGTTGGCAACAACGTTGGTCTACTATGCTCGGCAACAAACTTCAATCTATTAAAACCGAGTATAGGTTACTGGCCGTCTTCTTATCACCAGTGTCGAGGTTGGGAGACTACTCTCTCCGTCTTCGCATTGGCCATACTCGTCTTACTCATGGATATCTCATGGAGAGGCGTCTTGCTCCTCTCTGTGAGAATTCCCCAAGCTCCATTATCAGTCAGCCACATTCTGTTGGACTGCCCACTTTATCAACGAGCACGCGAGAATTTACCTCTGTCGTCGTCTTCGCTCCGCTGCTCTCTCTTTACCTTCCCTTCTCGCTGATGGACCCACCTTTCATCCGGACTCTCTCATTTACTTTTTGACAACAACTGACTTACTTCACAAATTCTGATACCTTCAGCCCTTTCTACTTCAATCTCTTGCTACCCTCTACCCCCGTACTATCCCCTGCCCCGCTGTTTTCTGTAACCTGCTGATCATCCCTCCTCCCTTCTGCCATCCAATGCCCTCGCTTCCTTCCCTACCCTGCAGCGCTGTATAGCCCTTGTGGCTTAGCGCTTCTTTTTGATTATAATAATAATAATAGTGCTATGTTTTCAAGCTGTTTAAAACCAGGGATACATGTACATGTAATTGAGGATTTTCATTAATTGTTTATTCATCTTTAGCATCCTAGTACGTACAGTGGTACCTCGAGTTACGAACTTAATTCATCCCAGAAGGCTGTTTGAGTGCTGATACTGAATGAATTTGTTCCCATAAAGAATAATGTAAATTAGATTAGTCTGTTTCAGACCCCCAAAAATACACTTACATAGTTGTTCAAGTTGGGAGCTGTTCAAATCTTGAGGCACCACTGTACTTTGATATCCGTAATCTTCCCTAAATTGAGAATTCTTCCTACAGATGGCTCAACATTGTGACTGATGGAGATGCTCCTGAATTGAAAGGGTAAGAATATTTTCAGTGACACTAGGTTGCATATAGGAAATATTTGCCTTGCTAATAGATTAGTTTGACCGATTTATTTTTTGAAAATTACACATTCATAGTGAGATGGTATATGCAGAATTTTCCTGAGGCTCTTTGGTTGCCAAAACATTTTTGAATATCTGGTTTGGAGAAACATAACACTAAGTGTGTTGTATATTATATTAGTGAAAAGATCCTTTGCTAGAAAGAGAATTATAATATACATTTGTTAAAAGACGGTGAAAATTGCTGAACAAGAAAGAGAGAGATTAGCTTGAGCTAACAAGATGGGAAATGGATTGTCTAGCATGAAGTAGAATAGTGCATATTGCCAAGATAACGTAGAGAGAAGATGAATAGCTGAAGTTCTGTAAGGATAAACTATTATAGAGATTATAGAGGAAAAATCATGCTAGTAATGACAGATGGCATATTAAGTATGTACCTCGTCAAGGTCCTCTCATTCTCCATGGGATGTATGACCCCTAACAGTTTTAGCACTTTCATGAATATAAAACAAATTATAATAATGATTTATATAGAAGGAACTTGTTTTGAAGAAGTCTGTACAATATGAAAATTTTCATGCTGACCTACAGATTGGTTCCAAAGAATCTTTAGAATATATGTGATACTTTCCCTTTTTTTATACTTTAGGTAAAAATGGTTCATAAGATAGTGTTGTAGTCACAAAGGTGGGAATGTCTTAAAAAAAAATTGACAACCAGTGGTTTTAAAGAAAGGTAATCAGTTTTTTGACCCATACTTCCAGGTTCCAGGTTCCAGAGGGTGATTTAATTTAAAATTTTTTTTGCTGGAGTATGTTAGTTTGTTTTTGAATAGGCACTAGATAAACCCCTACAGATTTAATGCTTTCCCCCCTTTGAAATGATTTTTTTTTATAACTGGGACCAAGGAAGATAATCAGCAAATCAACAAGCTATAATCTTCATGATAAATCTGCATAGACATCTCTGTCATGGATGCTGTAAAATTGTCCCTTTTAAATGCATAATTAACAATTGAGAGAGCTGTAACGAAGATTTTTTAGAAATGTAGAATATCGACCATCTCTTTTGTAAATAAATATGTAATGATTAGTAAAAAGGTAGGTAAATAGATCAGCAAATAAGCATAGCCTTGTTTTATTTTATTTTGCTCTTGTCAAGGATAGTAGTAATAGGGTAGGCATAGACAAAAGTGTTACCCTTATTACATATCATATGAGATGAATGGTGAGAGAGAGAGAGAGAGAATGATTTTGAAATACATATATCAGAATAAACAAAAGTTGGCCTATTTTCTCAGAAAATGGTGAAGTACTTAGCCTGATGTTATATGGGAAAAATTGAATTTACAATAATTATTTATTGCAGTTATGAAGAAAATATTATTGACTGACAAGCTTGGAAAAGACAGATCAATAATAGAGAGGAATAAGAAAATTACATTATTTTTGTGATGAAACAAGGTATTTTTAGGAATGTCATTTACTGTCATTTGAGTTCTTGGGAGCAATTTATTAAACAAAAAAAATTCAAAGTAATTTTTTACTTTTGAAAAACATATCCTGTTATTTGGATAATACATAAGTGGAAAGCCCTTAGAGCTTGGCTATTAACAAAGTGAATATGGAAGAATTACTCAATGGCTGGATTTCCTGAGATTGTGTCAAGAAAGTTTCATTTTTTTAACACACTGGCCATCTCCCACTGAGGCAGGGTGACTTGAAAAAGAAATGCTTTCACCATCATTGTCTTGCCAGAGGCATGCAGATACAACAGTTTAGATGTCCCTCTAAATAGCAAGTATCCCAAATCCACCTTCAGTGAGCAGGCACAGTGGTTCCCACCTCCGAAATAAAGGACTAGAAAATTTTGATCTCAAATAAAATTTGGCTTGTGTAATATTCCTTGCAGAGCAGGATTGAGTATGATAAATTGAAGGGCAGCTAATATGACTATGTAGCAAGAATGACTAGTAAAGTTTGAAAAAGAAAAGTATTGCTGAGCAAGTAGTGAGAGTGAGTTTAGTGGGAAATAAAAAATTAGTTATGCCTATCATTTCTACTCCATCTGTAATAATTTTCACTTTATACATTAGATACCTTGTTTGCCTCTGCTGTTCTCATAAACACCTTAAAGTACTTCTTATCTGCTTTTACTTCTATAAACAATAAAAGCATTGATGATTACTTTCTTCATCATTCTAAACCACCAAAACCTCATATGACATTTGCCTTACTGTTATTCCTACAAACAATAAATATTTTCAAATCACTGTTTATTCAGTTAGTAGGTTAGTCTCTTCACTTACTATTTTTCTTTATTCCTGCATTCGGTATCCAGTCAGCAAATATTATAAGATATTGTTTACTTTTATTAATCTTAGATTTATAAATACTAAGTAGTTTTTCTGTATATTTACCAATCTCCTTTAAAAAAAATTAGAAGTTGGTTTTCTATTTTTATTTTATTTTCCTGCTAATAAAATATGTTAACTTATTGTCTGTAATCAACATTTTCTCTGTAAATATTAAGGAACTAGATGTCATCAGTATTCCTCTTGTAAACAGTATTTGGCTTGGTGTTCACTCTGTGTTCTTCCTGCAAGTGTATAAACTTTGTGCTCTGACTCAAGTAGTATCTAAAATTTAATAACTTCACAAATAATCTGCACTTAGAAGAGGAAACTTATGACAACATTTCAGTTCATCCTGGACAGTTGTCAGATAACAAGTGCAGGTTATTTGTGAATTGTTTCAGCCATGGTATTGTGACCTATTATTCTTCTTGAAATCATTCTTTTATAGTTTTACTTTTTTAGCTCTGTTTTTTCTACCAGGCAAGGTTGGTATACACAGCAACTCCTCTGTGAACAATCAACTTCAAGAATCTTAAATTGTGCAGGAGGAGCCTGTGAAGTATCTCATGAGCAGAATATTCCACTAAATAACATAAGAATCCAGTTACTGACCCATGCCTTTCTGCCAGAAAGTGATGTTAATGTCATAAATAAAAATTTTCTTAGTTGCACTTACTTCAGGAGTGTTGCTTATCCCTTAATCTCTTTCTTTATTTAGGTTATTGATAATAAAATTTTGTTTCATGTACACTATATCCTATATTATTACTGTACCTTAATCTAATCTTATCTAATTATTTTTCTTTTTCAATACTAGCATAACTGGCCATGCCATAAAAGTTGGCTGTAGTTCAGCTATGTGAGTAGCTAGCTGACCTCTCTTATGGAAGTTTCATGGTTGTGTATATACATATGATATACAATTGATCTCTATTCAAGATTTAATCTTTATGAATGGCATTCGAATTTGAGATCTTAACAGTAACTCACAGAAACGAAGTGTGATACTTGGTACTACGATTCACCTGGATTTAGTCCTTGTCCATGAATTTAATGAAGTAACAAAAAATATGGCACACACAGGTCATGTTAAAGTATGTTGAATAAGATTTTTGTTAACATAATTATACCAGTAACTTGTACCTTTATGGAAAAATATTAGCATGCTATGTAAAGAAGGTTGTATTGTAGTAATTAAATAAGTACTTATTAAAGAATTATAAACGGAACACTATATATCCTGCTTGTGTACATTCACAACCCTGAAAGGTTTCATCAGTGTCTTCCCTGCTGCTGAAGCTGCTGATGAGGGTCGCATGCCTTCATGCTCTCTTCGCATATCTTTTGTATCTTATCTTTACTTTGAAAGTGATGCCTGTGCTTCTCATGAAATTTCAAACCTTTTTTTTTCCCAAACACTGCAGCTCTTTCTAAAGATTTAAAAAAGTTTTTCATTCATTTAATTTAATTTAAACATTTCCTTCATGACCTCAACACTACAAGTAAAAGTAACACTAGATTTTTCTTGCTATAGCTTTATACCCAATTCTTTGTCTATATATACATAGAAAATGTATGTGTGTGTGTATATATATGTATGTATATATATTATATAAATGAAAATATTTTATATATAATGTATATATATGTATATTATATATATATATATATATATATTATATATATATATATATTATATATATATAATATATATATGTATATTTTATGTATATGTATATATAAAGTATATGTATATATATGTATATGTATATATATGTATAGTATTTTTTATATGTATATGTATATATATGTATATGTATATATAGTATATGTAAATATATGTATATGTATATATATGTAAAATTATATATATGTATAATATGTATAGTATATAATGTATATGTATATATATGTATATTATATTATTATATGTTATATATAATGTATATGTATATATATGTAAAATGTATATATATGTATATTTAAAATATATGTATATGTATTTTATATGTTTTATATGTATATAAAATATGTATATGAAATTTAATTTTATATATGTATATATATATGTATATTTTATATATATGTATATATATTGTATATGTATATATATATATAATTTATATATATGTATATATATGTAAATATATTTTATTTTATATATATGTATATTATAATATATGTATATATATGTAATATAATATGTATATATAATATATGTATTATATTATATATATATATAATATTTAAAAATATATGTATATATATGTATAATATATGTATATTTTTTATAATATAAAATATATATATGTAAAATATATGTATATATATATATATATATGTATATATATGTATATATGATATATATTGTAATATGTATATAATATGTATATATATATGTATATATATGTATATGTATATATATATATGTATATATATATATGTATATTATATGTATATATATATGTATATTATATAATGTTTATATATATATGTATATATATATATGTATATAATATATATGTATATATATGTGTATATATATATATGTATATATATATGTATATATATATATGTATAATATATGAGTGTATAATATATATATGTATATATATGTATATATATGTATATATATATTATATATATATATGTATAGTATATAATATATTATAATATATGTTATAATATTATATATATATGTATATATATATATATGTATAATATATATATATATATATATATATATATATGTAATAATATATATATGTATATATATTAGTATATATATGTATATATATATGTATATATATTAGTATATAATATGTAATATAAATGTATATATATATATATATATATGTATATATATATATATATAGTTATATATAATTATATATATATTATAATTATATGTATATATATATGTATAAATATATATTATGTATATATATTTATATATATATATTTGATATATATATGTAATATATATATATATATATGTATATAATATATATATATATATATATATTGTGTAATATATAATGTATATAATATGTATATATATAGATATATTATATATTGTAATAAATATATGTATTTTTATAAAAGTAAAATAAAATAATAAAAAAATGAAAAAATTATAATGTAATAAATATGTATATATAATAATTATATTTTAAATCTAATAAAGTAAAATGAAAAAAACCAAAATACAAAATAAAAAAAAACCAAATACCCACCCCCAAACACCCAAAAAAAAAAAACACACAACAACACACACAACCACACAACAAACAAACACAACTCCAACAAAAACCACACACATACACACACAAACACACAAACACAACACACAACACACCAACACACACACATAACCACCAAAACACAAAAACACAAACATACCCCACACCCCATACCACCAAAACAACACAAAACAACCACACAAAACATACACACACACATAACCACACATCCCAACCAACCCACTACCCACCAAAACAAACACATACACACACCTTTAACACACACAAAATCACAACACAATACACACCCAACACCACATATACACACACTTTCCCACCCCAACAACATACACATACACACAAAAAACACAAAACAACCCCACACAATACACACACACACATTACACAACAAACCACACACATACACCCACACATACCACAACAAACCACATACACACCACAACCACTACACACACCATACCAACACACCCCCCCCAACACAATACACCACACAACACATACACACACACATACACATCACACACACATAACCCACCATACCCCCAACCACAACATACACAAACCAACTAAAACCCACTACAACACCCATCACCCACCATACACACCACACATAAACCAAACACACCCCACATACACACCCAAAAACACAACATACACACCACACATACACCACAACATACATACCCACAACATACCCACACAAACACACAACCCCCCAACACACACACACAACACACACACAAAACACACACAACCAAAACACCACACACACACACACACACAACACACACACAAACCAACACACCCCACAACACAACAACACACACACAAAACCCCAAAACACATACCACACAAACACACACATACACACACACATAAACACACACAAAACACCACACTAACACCCATACACACACACAATACACACCATACACACACACATATACACACACAAAACCCCCACACACAATACCACACCATAACACACACAAAACCCACACAAACCCACACACTATACACACACATACACACACACACAATACACACCATACACACAACAATATCACACACATCCCAACCACAATAACACACAAAACACCAACACCACACATACACACACACATACACAAAACACACACACATAAAAATACAACACACATAAAACACACACACATACACACCCCAAAACAACACAAAACCCACATACACACAAACAAACACACATACACACACAACACACACCCACATACAAAACACATACACCACAACAACACACATACACAAAAAACCCACATACACACACATACACACACACACATACAACACAACACAATACACACACATCACCCCCACATACCACAACACACACCACAACACACACAACACAACCCATAACACATACACACACACACATACACACACTACCACATACACACACACACATAAAACACACATACACACACACACACAATAACACACCATCCCCACACACACACACAACCCCAACACAACCCCAAACACACACATACAAAACCATACAAACACCATACACACACACACATACAAAACACATACACACCCCCAAAACCACAAAACCATACCCCAAACATACACCCCCAAACCACACTACATACACAACTACACCCACACACATACACCCATACTACACACCATCACACACACACACACATACCCACACACCATACACACACATACACACACACACACAACACCACAACACACACACCACATACACAACAACACACACCACAACACACACCACCAACACACACTACACACACACACATACACACACACCATACACACCACACATAAAAACCACACATACACACCCCACCACCACACACACAACACCCACATACACACACACACATACACACACACACATACACACCACACACACACACACACACACACACACACACAACACACAACACATCCACAAATACACACACACCTACCCACAACACATACACACACACACACATACACACACAACACAACACACATACACACACCAACACACACACCACACACATACAACACCACAACACACACACACACACAACACCACCATACACACACACCATTACAACCACACTACAACACATACACACACACCTACACACCTACACCACACCTACACACACATTCACACACAAAAAACACCACATACACACACACATACACACACATACACACACAACATACACACAATACAAACACACATACAACACACCCATACACAACACCACATACACACACATCACACACACACCATACACACACATAACACCACACAACACAACACAAACACATACCACACTTTACACAAAAACCCACACACATACACACACACAAACACACACACACACATACACACACACACAACACACACAACATACACACACACACACATACACACACACACATAACACACCAAACCCCACAACACACACACACATACACCACTACACCCACCACACACATACACCCACACACACACACACAA